AAACAATAATTATTTGGAGTTTTAATGGCACCTTGAAGCACCCAATAGACAGCATCAAATTTGTTCAGTTTATCTGACCATCCTAGAAAGCCATTTATCTAATCAGAGAAAACCAGACAAAAAGTGTCCCCTTATGTAGGATATGTGCAAACAAATACACTGAGAGAGGGAAAGTGGAATTACCTTTACTTTTAAATAATTCACCAAAATGAAGAGAGGGGAGTTTATTATTATCTAACAGGTCTTTACTGATCTCTTCCTCTTCTCATTTATATCACTCTACCTTACCATTACATTCCCAGTGGTTAGCAACATATGTACATATGTAACTGGTTGCATCCTTGTACTTCATTCTTTTCCTGATGTGAAATACCTGGCTTTTAATTTAATGACATCCTCCTGCAAAAACATCACTATTCCTTTAGACCATAAATAAAACCCCAGTACATCTGGAAGAACAAATTAAGAAACTACGAAAACTACTTTGTTCACTTACTCGGGATATGAACTGAACCCACAGAGCAATATGTCAGAAGAGCCATTCATTCTGTAGCAGATATCTAATAAAAAAATAAATCAAGGAATCATAAAATCAGAAATTGTCAGTTTCCACCACCTTCTGAAAGGAAACCACACATTTACTGCACTTCATAAAAACTCTGATGGAACAAAGCTCTGGGAAGGATCCTTTCACAGCAAAGGATGTATAGGGTTGATTCTCAGCAGATCTGTCTCTATGACAAATTAAAATATAAGACAACTATTTACTGCACAACTCAGAGTACAAGATTTCATTCGGTCTCTGGTAAAAATAAGAATCTCAGTGAGAAGTAGGCAAAATCCCTGAAATATAGAAGAAGTGATGCAAAAATAATCACTCCCTCTGCAGTACCCCTAAAATTAGGATCCCTGTGCAATGAACAAGTAAAAAGGCAAATGCTTATAGAAAACTCAGCCCCATCTATCCCACAGGCTGCTGATCTTTCTCCAAATCTGAGATTCACTAATTTTACGTTCTGTTGTCCCCCACGAGTTATGTAAAGGGAGAAAAGAGCAACATTTACCTTCATCACTTGGTACATAGATCTTGGGATCCTTACAGAAGCAGTCATTGTACATAGCATTCCTGAGGACACATTTGGATGTTAAATTGCCCATAAAAAGCTGAAGGCCTATCAGAGCAAATATACTCAAGCAAAATACAGTGAAGATCAATGCATCAGCAAGTTTCTTAACAGATTCAACAAGTGAATTTACGATGATTTTCAGACCTAGAAAAATAAGATCCAAGAATATGCAAAATGAGAAGAGGAATGCAGTAAGACACAGCAGTTGCAAGTAGGTTAAAAACAATCAGAGTCAATGGGTTTGTAACTTCTGAGTATTAAAAGAGGTAAACCAAAGCACATGAGTGAGTAAAGCATTTTCCCCCTACATTTTCTAGCCATAATTTCTTTGGCTTCTGTTTAGTACTAACACTAATTTTGCCATTGTGCAAATTCTAAATTAAGATGGTATCTTAGGAAAATCATACAAACTTTAATGAATAGGGTCAGGTTTCTGTGCTTGATTAACACTAAACAAGTACTTCACCCTTTGCCAAACACACATTACAATGAAGGACAGCTTCTGCTGGCCTCGGGGAACTCGGCCTTAGAAGGTAATCCCTTACAGATGACAGTTTAAAAACCAAAGAACAATTATGACATTGGTAAGGAAACAAATAAATGTTGGGGACCACCCAGCTGGAACACAGCTTGGCTGAAAGGGCCCTGAGCATTCTGGACGACGCTAACTTGGATGTGATCCAGAAACAGTGCCTTGTGACAAAGAGGGTGACTGTTATCCTGTGCTGCATCAGGCAAAGCACGGCCAGCAGGTCAAGGCAGGTGATCGTTCCTCTCCACCCAGCACTGGCAAGGCCACAGCTGGACTATTGGCTCCAGTTCTGGCCCATGGACATACTGGAGAGTCCAGCAAATGGCCACAAACATGGTGAAGGGACTGGAACAACTCTCCCAAGAGGAAAGGCTGAGCTGAGCCTGCTCAGCCTGGAGAAGAGAGGGCTCAGGGGGCATCTCCTCCATGGATGCACATTTCTGAAGGGAGAGTGCAAAGAGGATGGGTCCAGGTACTTTTCAGCGGTGCCCAGTGCCAGGACCAGAGGCCGTGGGCCCAAACTGATGTTCCATCTGAACATCAGGAAACACTTTTGTACTGAGAGGGTGACTGAGCACTGGCACGGGTTACCCAGGGAGGTTGTGGAGTCTCAATCCTTGGAGATACACAAAAGTTGTCTGGACCTGGCCCTGGGCAACCAGCGCTCAGTGACCCTGCTGGAGCAGTGATGCTGCACCAGATGACCTCCAGATGTCCCTTTCAAACTCAACCATTCTGGGATTCTGAGAAAATGCCTTTTATATAAACTAAAGACCAATATTGAGGCAGAATAAGTGAATTTGAGATATGATATAGGCAGAAAGTAATATTTAGCACTTTTTAAAAGAATTTGATCTCTGTTCTCCACACTGAATATTAAAGGAAAAGTATTTTGTGTGGTTTTGACACTGAAATCAAACACTTTCTATGTTTCATTCCTGCTATAATCCTAGAGCAAAATCAAAAATATATAGTCAATTACATTTAATAGGTAAAGTTAACATAAATTATGACAATATATATAGTCCCTGATACATTTTCAAATGAATTATTGCAGGCAAATCCTGAAATCATCCTTTGGTATTCTAGTTAGGGGCATGACTTGCAAACATATCGAGTATCTGGATGGTATATGCAACATCCTACTGAAAGTATTACACTGAATCCAGAGAGTGGTTGTGGTCAGTAAGGAAACAGATGAAAGACTCAAATATTGTGAAGTCAACATTCTCGGGAAGAAACCAGAAAACATTAAGCCAATGAATGTTAGCAAGCTAATTAATGATACAGAAATATGGGGGTATAACCATATTATATTGAGAGAAAACATCAAATAGAGGAGGCTGCTGTGTATAGTCGTTGATAGATTTTCAAATTAATTTTTGCAGGTGAATCCTGAAATCATCCTTTGGTATTCTAGTTAGGGGCATGAATTGCAAACATATCGAGTATCTGGATGGTATATGCAACATATGGGGGTATAACCATATTATGTTACAAAACCACATCAAATAGAGGAGGCTGCTCCAGGAAGACAAGGGTAAAAAGGCAAAGGCACTGGGCTAATTAAAATGGAACATTAGTGATAGAACAAAAAATGCAGAAAATAAATTTGCCTTTGTCAAAACTATTCAGAGGAAAGATAATTAAACCAATTCTGTTAGGGTGCTGCTGAGAGTTACTACAGACTGTAAAACAGTCACACCTTGGAATCCCATAAGCAGTCACAGACAGTGATCAGAAAACTGAGGACAAGAACAGGAGAGGAATCAGAATTGGCGTACTGGTGAAATGGAGAGGATATCAGTAAGATTGTTCCTCACCTGGTATTACTGAAATGGCTTTCAAAGTCCTCAGTACTCTGAAAGTTCGAAGAGCTGAAACATTGCCTATATCTTGAAACATGGTAATATACCTGTAAAATGAAAGCACACAGGACTGAATGGCAAGGATGTAGCTTTTCAAACCATGAGCATGTTGAGCCAGCCTATGACTATTTTTCTCTTTGCAGATGTGCAAATGGTGGTTCAAGCACAGTAACTCTTTAGCAGGTAGAATGCCAAACACTCTAAGGAATTTCAGCAACATCAAATAGCATTTTATCTGTTTTTTTTTTTCCCTTGAGTGTAAAACAAAACTGAGATGTACTTACATTATGATAATAATAAAAAGATCCAAGCAGTTCCACGGATCTCGAAGAAAGGTAAATTCATTCCAAACAAATCCTGTTGCTACTATTTTTATCAATATTTCAGTAGTATATATGGCAGCAAAAGCTTCTCTGAGGAGGAAAGAATATATTAAAGTGATAGAAATAAAAGTATTAAAGAGATTGAGTCACATTGAGGCACATGCAGGCATTTTCTATGATAAAACAGATTACAGATTACTTTCAGAAGCATCATCAGTATAAGATGTGTTCCTGAATTCTAGTAAGACTTCAGGTAGTAAATCTGTAACCACAAAAGTTCACATAAGCATATGATATTATTTCTGAGTGAAGGACAGTTCACACTTCCTTAGGAAGCATTTTTAACACTGTGTTTATATTCTAAAGTGGGCTAGAAAATCACAAAACCTCAACATTCATGCAGAATAATAGAACAAAAGAACAACTGAACATTACAGTTGTTCCCTTTCTAATGGGAACAATTGACCCAGGAGTGTCACCAGGAAACAGGAAGAAAGAACAGAATGGACATTTATCCTTTTCCAGTTTTTGCATGAGCCAACCAGAACAAATACTCAGGTTATTGATGTAGAATGAGAGATTTTAAGTCAGAATCCTGCCCCACAGTCCTCTAAAAGGCTCAGTCCTTAAAAGGAAAAATGGGGCAACCTTCTATGTCACACCAGGTGGCAAAATTAGCCAACACAGAGGAGAGGGCATATGGTGTGAGCCTCTACAAAAAGGCACTGAAGCTCCACCAAAGACTGTGAGATAGAATAACAATCCTCAATCTTCCTCAGAGTCTGTATGAGAATTTTCAAGGCCCTAAATTAGATCACCACATTATTTAAATTTTTCACTTCTGCATGTAAGTATCCATGGAAAAAGAGGGAACACACAGCCACTGAGATACTTACTCAGTCCAGTCGAGTTCTGGTGGAAGCTTACGTACAGTCAGTAGAATACAATTGAGTAACACAGTACATACAATAAACCAAGCAAAATATGTGAATAGTAAGTTAAGGAAAAAATGCTACATTATAAAACAATGAAGTTCATTATAAAACAATGAATTTCATAGAAGGTCCTGATTTCCACACAAAAAAGCATACAGATCTTCAGATAATGACTTTGGTTTTGAATATGCTCAGGACTTTTCATGTGTTTTCCAAAGAAACTAAGTAAGAACTTTAGTGGGACACAACATGTTTAACAGAAGAGAGGAGAAACAAAGTAATGAAACCCTGTTGACAAAGCTTCATTATGAACAACCAGTGTTCTTTGAAACTGGGATTCCATATCCATGTTAGCAAAACACCCCTCTGCTCTGCAGGAGTTCAGAAAGCTTTCTCACTTTACATGGTAGGGAATGAAAACATGCGTAGGAAAAAAACCATTTCTTTCATAAAAGTTCACTTGTCATCTAATAAAACTGTTGGGATTTTATTTAAATAACAATAACCTCTAAAGGTTGTTCCATACCAATATCTGCAAAATTGATTTTAAATATCAGTTTGTACCAACATCATGGAAATATCTCAGCTGTTATAGCATAAGATTCAAGATAACTTTTAAAAAATCTCTATCAGCCGTATATCTATCACAGCTTAGGTTCACATTAATATAAAAAGAGGAAACAAAAGACAGAAAATGATACAGAATATTTTAAAACTCAAATAAGGGAAGCCAGTGAAAGGATATGGATTGGTCAGAATTTTAATGGCTGCTTTTCTGACTCGATTAAAAGGACCCAATATCCACAAGGCAGGTGTGGCAGTAAACCGGAAAATAATCCTGCTTTTATTTAGCACCATAAAAGTCTAAAAAGAAAAGATTCATAGGATAGGTTATGAAATATTTAAATGAATTAAAATTTTCCAAAATAGTACATGTTCAGGTTTTCAAGTCTGCATCTCGAATTATATCTAACTGCAATCATGAGTAAAGCTTTCCTGTTTTCTTACTTGGAGCTGTGACCTGGCCATGCACATTTTGAAGGAAAGACAGCAGCTCTATGGAAGAGCATTATTGACTGAGAGGAAGAAGCAGTAATGAGAATGAATGTGAAGACCAAGTGATCATTTTCACTTGGTCAAAGTAATTAAACTACTTAAATCAATTAAATAGTACTTACTGTTCTGGGACTTCTACTGAATCAGCCTTAGTTTCTTTTCATCAAAAATGTTACTTTGATTACTTGGAGAAAACAAATCTCTGGAAGAACAAAGTCTTCTGCATGTTCTCTGATTCTATTATATTCCAGTGCCTTGCTGGGCATATCATAAAGACAAGAGCACAGCACTGCATGGAACCTCCTGCTCTTCAGGTCAAGTCCCCCTCAACAGTAAGCAATCATACAACAGACATTTAATTGAGGAGGAATTCCTAGAGCATCTACTGTAGACACTCCTGGAGGCATCAACACCAACCCCTTTGCAATCACATGGGGGATATGCAATATAAATGTGGTACAACAAACAAAGCCAACCAGACATGGACTAACAGAAAATTAATTTACAACAATGCAAATACATGGGTTTGCGACACAGAGTGCTAGAAATATCTCCAATATGCCTCCCTAATTGGTATAATCTTTGAAATTCAGAGAAAGCATCTGCAATTCCAGCGTGATCTACTCTGGGACAGGCACTGTTTATACCACAGGCAGTTCAGCCTCACAGGCATCATAGGAATTGCTCTGGAAAACGAAGTATCCCTTGTCCCTGAATATATTTCCTGTAGAAGTGTATCAATCATGTGTAGTACGTTCTCATAATTAAATCTGACTGCTAACTGGAACTGAAGATACCTCTTCATGGCATAAAGCAGAGCACACCTTAGCATTCCTGCCCCAAAAGATGTCAGTAACATTGAAAGCCCTGTCTAGAGAACCATCAAAACACAGCATCTCCCAACTAGAGCTTCTACTACTTCCTAAGAGTTCAGCAAACAAAGTTAAATCAAAGAATGCTTTGGGAAGTTTTAACCTTGTGATCACTGTAGTATGGATCCAAATCCTCCAGGGGTTCCCCAATGAGCTCTGCTGGAATGTCCCCATAAAGAGATGGCAGCTTTTTGCAGATTTGCAGATCAACCTGGGGAGTAAGTTGTTCTTTTCCAACTCCTTGGTGCTTATTCTTCTCTTTTTCTTTCTCTAACTGCTTTTTTTTCTCAGCAATTCTTTGCTCAATTGCTGCCAAGGACTCAGGGGTGAAAAGTCGAAAGCTGGTCGTTTCTGACCAAGACCAGTCATCCATTTTTCCTTCTGAATGTTTGTTTCCAGTGCTAGAGGCAATTGAAGTAAAAAGCTGTTAACAATTAGAAAATAACAGAAAAAATACACACCTTTAAACTGCTATCTATTAGGCAAATGATTTCTGACTTCTGTGAAATGCCACATCAAAAGAGAATAGAATAGAGTAGAATAGAATAGAAAAGAATAGAATAACCTATTTCATTTGGAAGGGACCCACAACAACCCTCCAGTGCAACTGCCTGAGCAACTCAGTGCAGATCAAGTTAAAGCTGTTTTAAGGGCACTGTCCAAGTGCCTCTTGAGCACTGACAGGCTTGAGGCACAGACCACCCCTCTGGGGAGCCTCTTCCAGTGTTCAACCATCCTCTTGGTAAAGAAATGCTTCCTGATGTCTCACCTACATCGTCCCCCAGTGCAGCTTTGAACCATTCCCATACGTGCTGTCACTGGAGAGCAGGGAGAGAAGCTCAGCACCTCCCTCTCCGCTTCCCCTCCTCAGGAAGCTGTACAGAGTGTTGAGGTCACCCCTTCTCCTCTTCTCCAAACCAGACAATCCCAAAACCCTCAGCCCCTCCTCACAGGACATTCCTTCCAGCCCTTCCACCAGATTTTTTGCCCTCCTCTGGGTGCATTCAAAGACCTCCATTCACATCCTTCCTAAATTGTGGAGCCCAGAACTGCACCCAGTGCCCCATGTGAGGCCACCCCTGTGTTTGCTCTGTTTGATGCACCCAGGGTATAAGGCAAAACCAGCTAGAAGCTCATTCATTTAAAAGAAAGAGTAATGCAAAACAAACCCAAGAAAGATCAACACCTGATTCTTTCAAACACTCTGCATTTTTGATTGCTCAGGTCCAGCTGTACTGCTTCTGTTTTTGTGAACTCACTTACAGACCATATATATTAGAGAATCAATACCCTCTTGTAATTACAGCTCTGTTCTTTAGATGCCAAAATATTTCTTTAAATGAATATGCAAACAATAAGGGTTGTGCAAGGACGGTTTTTTTTGGGTTTTTTTTGCACCTCTGGAAATTTACAAGAAATTCAGATCTGATCAAGAACCACAACTCAGATAACAGAATTTAACACGGTAACAAAAGGGAAGCACATAACCAAAGAACTTGTACTTTGCCAAACCACACAGACCCATTTTGCAATCAAAAGCTCTAAATATCAACTGAAAATCAAGATGCTCTTCCTTTTTTTTTTTTACTTTTAATAATTCTAAGAAGATCAAATTGATCTTCAAAGAAATTTTAAGAGTAACAGAGAGATGGAGCATTCAGAGAACTACATGGACTCTAATGAAGCAAGGAAAACTGTTTTAGCAAATGCAAACATTGTTTTAGGATTAAGGATTTGGGAGCAGAATTTTCAAAAAAAAAAAAAAAAAAATAAAGACTGAATCTGACAAAAGCAGTGATCAAAAGCAAAAACCTTACACATTCCCTTCTGCAACAGTGACCAGCAGTCATAACTGGACAAACATTCATGGACAAAGTGAGAGGATTTCTTCAACACACCTGTACCAGCCACACTCTGATGCTCATAGAGAACAACAGGCTTTTCGGCTTTTCATCGACTGCCAAGTATTTACACGCTGTGACTTGGGTTAGGAAAGAGGAAGCTAAGAATATGTGACTGAAAAAAATCCTTGTGGTACAGATGACTAAAACATTTCAAAAAGACAGAGTGACTCCTCAGAATTCCTGAAGCTCAGCTGAACTCAGCCACCTCGTCATCGGCTGCTGAAGCAGCTGAATTTTTAAGTCAAGACATTGAGGTAAAGTGTTACCCTTAGAAAGAATTTCAGTCTTTGCATTAGAAGAGTCTCTCCAGTTACTGATTCTGGGAGGGAAGACAGAACCAGTATTCCCAGAAGCAGCTGAAGGACAACTGAATGTGATTTCTTCTAGAACCTGGGAGAACAAACTTGGGTGCGTAACTACACACAAGGAAATGTAACAACAAATTCAGAATTGAAAATGCTGCAACAGTTCTTGATCTCTCTGGTCCCATAGCAGACAGTGGTCCATCAGTAACAGATACAAATGTGCTGAGGGGACCTTCAGTTAATAAAGTACCACTCCCGGCAGGGTCAGGGATACAGAAACACCTCTTCAAATTCAACTTCTTCTTTCAAATGAAAGTGGACATTACTTATTTCTCTCCTCTTGAGAGGCAGTGAACTCGGTGTACAGAGCTAGCCCTGCTTTGAGGTTTGTCTAACTGGCTTAAGGTTGACACAGCAGCTTTTCAAGACAAAACCCAAGGAATTCCACAGAGACTGATGAAATTTACTGAACAAATGACGTGCAAAGAAATAGAAAAGGGCTAAAAGCCAGTCATTAAGTGAAGCAGACACGGGGCACTACTTAAGTACAATTTGCTATTAAAATTTGCTAAGATACAAGCTGGGGTTTAGGACAACTTTCTAGAAGAGCAAAGTAATGCCATAAACCTTTCTATTAATACAATGTTTCAGAGACACAATTTACAAGATGCTTCCTGAGGTAATGATTTATCACTAGAGATGATAGCTAACAGATTTAGACTTTTGGATTGAAAACCAAAGTACAAATTCAAACCTTATACTCAACTCCTTGATCTGGTTCCATTCATGCAAATTTCAGAACTACTTTCAATTCCCTAAAAGCATGTAGAGTTCCTTTAAAGTGTGGCAAGGTAACAGCAATCAAACTATTGACCATTAGGTCTCCAACAATCCATAAAAGTAGAATTTCAACTCATAGAACTGCACAGGAAAACACAATCAAAGTCAGTAAGGGGCATTTTGAGGAGTTTCTCGAGTAGGAACTTAAACATAAAAATATGTGTTATTTATGTTACTTATTTGTGTTTCAATCTAGTTTTAGCACACATTATAACCACTTCTGAGTAACAAACTATTTCTATCCATTCCCTTGCCAAGAGCCACCCACCCAATATCTCCTGTGAGCACCTGGATCTGAAGAAAATAAAGAGCAAACCAGCTGCTTAGTTTGGTTTTAGGATGCTTTTAGGATGCATTCTTCCACAGGGGAATAAAGTTGTGTTTGTCTCTTCACCTGCAATAAAAAAAGAGGAGAAAACAGCTCAGAGCAACACCTTAAGAAACAGGACAGGAATTCTCTCTGTTCTGTGCTGTACAACACCTTCCCAGAAGCTACTGCTATCACCTACGCAGTTTTCATAAAGAGTAAATACTTCTGCTCTCTGATCACAATTTTCTTTCTTTCACTCTGAATAATTATCAGCAGATCTAAGAGATTTTAGTCCTTTATAAATTTAAACTTGGACATTTTAGAGGACTACGGCTGTTTCTGAAATTCATGGCCATTTCTTCCACCTAACACTTTGTCCCCCATTCTCCACTTTCCACTTGTCCCCCCCAACCAAACAAAATCTTTTGGTTTGGATTGTTTGGATAAATATCTACCACTGGCTTGTTTGGGGGGAGATTTCTGGGGTATTGTTTGGTTTGGTTTTTAAACTAATGTAATGTACAAAGTTACTCACAATATCAACATAATAATACACAATATAATATAATCACTCATTACTTCCAAAATCAGAAATGTATGCAACAGGCTGGACTGTATACTATTTAATCATCTCAAAAAAAAATCACCAATCACCCACCAGTATTTCTGGAAGAAAGACATTCCAGACTTGTGTAGGTGAAGAAAATTCACTCTGTCAACATGAGGATAACTAAGATTAAACAGTGATACAGCCAGTTTGAGGAATGCCATGCATAAGCTGAGACAACAAAACAAGTCAAAAAGCAGTCAGTAATTAATATGAGAAATATATCAATGTTTAGTAAAATATTTTCCTGACTTATGAATGTAATAGGTAGAGCTACATATTTACAGCAATGGAGTGATTCTACATTAAAGGCATATTTTCTTATTCAGATGCTCCCTGTACCTCAAATAAAACCACACCTAAAATTTAAAAACATGTGTACATATTTTTATATATATACACACTTGTATAAATACATCCCTGAATATTTTGATCAAATATACATAAATATAAATTAAGAAAATAAGCAATTAAGACTTCTCATAGTAAAAAAAATATTTAGCAAAACCAAAATACTGGCAAAATCCCCTTCAAAATAAAAAATACCTTCACACTGCTTTCTAAAACTGATGTTGGCTGGTTTTATCTCCAAAGAGATAGAAGGTGTTTTCTCACCTTCACTGTTCCGTTCCCAAGAACATCCTTGCTCCCTGGCCATCTCCCATGTAGACAGTTTTCTTTTGTATTGGGATTGCTGGGGGAGAGGGATGGAGGGAGGAACTTGGTTGCATTTCTGACAATAGTAAATGAAATTTTCCAATAGTCATCGTGAAAGGTGGGAGTTTAGATTTTTGCCTCTCAGTGCCCCCAGGAAAGTCGAGCCCCTGGTGTCCGACAGTCCATCAGCATCTCGTAATGAGACCCTTCACCAACAGGCACAAGGTCAGAGGGCACCTCGACCACCTTTGTTAGGGGGGACTCAACAGAGCAAAGACCCCTCAGCGGGTCCTGGCAGGGTGTTTTCTGCTCCCTGCAACTGCAAGGACTCACTGTAACAGTTTATGGAATAACACTATGCATTAATAGAAATTGTGACAGGTTAATAAGGTTCAAGGGTTGTCAGTGATAATGCAATCTACTGATACAGATATTAAGCAAGTACAAGCTCTGATAGGAAGCAATCTGCTAATAAGCTATGGGATAAGCCCAAGCAAAAGCCCCAGTTCTAAAAGCAGCATTTAATGCACATAGAGTGTGGTTCTCACCCAAGGTGTCCCTCTGCAGGGGAAGATGGACTCTGCCCCTCGACTGGTCCCAGCACTTTTGGTGGAGGTCTTCTCCCACTTTCCCCCTGTCCCCAACTTACTTTTTATACTACTTTGTGTCTGGGTGGAGTTTGAGCGACTCCAGTCACAGATACCATTTATTTCTGATTGGTCTACGTAATGGGAGGGGGTGGTGGTTGTGGCTTGGCATCTGAGGAGGGGGTTCGATGTCACTGTTGGCTTCAGCAGTAGAACATCTTGATCCTCCCTTGTCAGGCAGGCACTGCATGGTCTCAGTACCACAATGTTCTCCCCCTCTGTTGGGATCAGAATGGAGAGGGCAATGTAGTCTCCACTTGGTTCCACACTCCGTATGTCCATTATACGTTTTACAAACAAAATCTGGAAGTCAAACATTCTGTTTCTTCTATACAAGATCAGAGTCCAAAAGTCATTCAGTAGAACACTATAAAACCCACAACATTTATCCTCAGATCTGAAATTGCTTGTATCTATTTAAATAAATGTATAGAACCTTATGGCAGCAGGTTTTGGACAGTAGCACAAACACACTAATGGCAAACTCTGATGGTTATTTCTCTTAGTTACTCTGAATTACAATTATTTCTGTTACTTACATCAACAGAATCCATTACTCTCTAAATTTTTTTTCTTCTTTATTGAGTAGGATGTAAATCTTTCCTGATGATAAGGGAGTTACTCTGGGTTTTGCTGGAAGAATTCTCATGAAGGAACTATGCTGTCCTTAAAAGCCAGGCTGCCCTAATGCAGCCAAATGAACAAAGAGTGACCAAACACTTTGCTCAATAGGTACCATCAGGGAAGGAAACAACTGAAAGTGGCTTTCAAAGAAATAAAACCCCAAGTGTTCTATGGGGCAAGCAAGAACAAAACATTTTAAGTTGCAGTGGAAGTTATTTCTCCAGAAAGCAAGAGAATGTTCTTGAGATCAGTTCAATTAAGAGAGCAGAATTTTAAAGATCACTGAAGCATCACTATAATGGCACTGTAACTGCCATGGTCAGAAGTACCCACATTTATAATGCTGTATCAGCTAAAACCACTAAATGGAAAAGATCCCTCCCTGCACTTATTTATTCTGCTGCATCTTCTCCATCCATCTGTTCCTGTGAAAAGTGGGGCTCAGGGAGTCAAGACAAATTCCAACAGAGCCCTCTTTGCACATTCTGATATCTACAACCTGAAAAGAGAGAGCACAGAGAACAAGATCTTCATCTGCAGCACTTTAGGACTTGCAGCTAACAGCAACACAATTAGACAAGTAACTTCTCTTGTGGTCCCATGGAAAATCTCCTTTCTCCTATTAGGAAGGCAGTTTCTGAAAGAGTCGGGAGGAGGCAGAAACCGGCCTCATAATAACAAAATTGTTTTCTTCCCACTTTCCTTCCTTATTCCTCAGAATACTGAAGGAAAAAAGGCTGTTTAACAACACCAAAAAGATAAAGTTCATTATAAAAATTACTAAAATACTTTTATTCTAGAAACTACTGGTAATTTAGTCACCGTGTTCTTGACATGGATCTGTCTCCTCCATTTACTGCAAAGTAGAACCCTCTTCTTTTTCCTCCTTCATGCTGGAGCACAAGACAAATACTTTTGGTTGGTAGCATTAGCACACCACCATTAGATTAATGACTAAGAGTATATAGATATCAAGAGTGGAAAAAACCCACAGATTTTTGCATATTTAAATATATTTTGTATCAGTGCCCTAACTCTAAACATTAGTTGATGTTTTAAATTACAGATCAGATAAATGCAGGCATTAAAGATATCAAGGCATTTGGCAGTTCATGCACACTGCATGACCCTCTTATCCTCAGATTCTATCCAGCTGCCTCATCTGCCATCCCTCTACTGAGAAATGCTCTGTGGTATAATCCCAGAAATCTGTGTCTCCTGTTCACTGGGAAAACAGACTTGTCACAAGTTCCGCTGTCTTAGAGGGAGAAGGGTTTACAATTTCCTTTTTTTCCCATTTATGGGAATGAGACAGCTATTTCAGTTCATCACAAATTCAGCACAATTTACCTCCTTTTCCAATCGGATTGACACTTTCCCTCAGCAGCTCACTGACCATGGAACCCCCGATTACAGGTGAGACATCTGAAATTCACATCATTGGAAAGCTCCTTCTCACTTCAAGATACATTTTTATATATATATAAATATATATGGATTTCATATGAAATTCAATAGAGTTCTTCATCAGTGGATGACATCTAGTTGTGGATTAGTATGGTTTTGTTTTGCAACATCCATTTCTTGAAAATATGAAATTTTGCTTTCAACTGTTATGACTGAAGTTACTAAAATTTTTTAGCCTTGAAGTAAAATGAGTTTTATTTTTTCCATTGAATTTTTTATAAATGTGTGTGGTTTTTTCTCTGTAAAACACTTTTTTACTCAAACTTCCTGTGCTTGAGGGAATAATATGTGGATAGACTATTGAATAGGTCAGTATGCAAATTTCAGGATTAGATTTACAGAAGATTCAGTTGATGCTACTGATATATTTGTGGGAAATTTATGTTCCATTGCCTCTTGTATCCACCTGGGATCTTGTGTCCAATATGTAATTTTAGCCTATTTCACACATTGCATCTTAGTAATACAAATGTATCTCGGAGTGAGAAGGAGCTTTTCAATTATCTGAATTTCAGATGTCTCAAATCATGCTATATTTGATAGGAAGTGAAATAGCTGTCCCATTCCCATAAATGGGAAAAATAGGAAATGAAACCTTTATGAACCCTTCTCCCTCTAAGAGAGCAGAATTTGTGACATGCCTGTTTTCCCGGTGAACAGTAGACACAGATTCCCAGGATTATACCACAGAGCATTTCTCAGTAGGGGGAAGCCGATGGATGAGGCAGCTGGATAGAATCTGAGGATAAGAGGGTCATGCAGTGTGCATGATATGCCTTGATATCTCTAATGCCTGCATTTATCTGATCTGTAATTTAAAGCAGCAACTAAAGTTTGGAGTTACGGCATGGTTACATGACAAATTTAAATATGCAAAAATTATGATTTTATTGGTAAACTTAACCTTTTTTCCTTCAGTATTCTGAAGAATAAGGAAGGAAAGTGGGAAGAAAACAATTTTGCTATTATGAGGCCAGTTTTCTGCCTCCTCCCGACTCTTTCAGAAACTGCCTTCCTAATAGGAGAAAGGAGATTTTCCATGGGACCACAAGTTACCTGTCTAATTGTGTTGCTGTTAGCTGCAAGTCCTAAAGTGCTGCAGATGAAGATCTTGTTCTCTGTGCTCTCTCTTTTCAGGTTGTAGATACTAGAATGTGCAAAGAGGGCTCTGTTGGAATTTGTCTTGACTCCCTGAGCCCCATTTTTCACAGGAACAGATGGATGGAGAAGATGCAGCAGAATAAATAAGTGCAGGGAGGGATCTTTTTCCATTTAGTGGTTTTAGCTGATACAGCATTATAAATGTGGATGCTTCTGACCATGGCAGTTACAGTGCCATTATAGTGATGCTTCAGTGATCTTTAAAATTCTGCTCTCTTAATTGAACTGATCTCAAGAACATTCTCTTGCTTTCTGGAGAAATAACTTACACTGTAAGTTAAAATGTTTTGTTCTTGTTTGCCCCACAGAACACTTGGGGTTTTATTTCTTTGAAAGCCACTTTCAGTTGTTTCCTTCTCTGATGGCACCTATTGAGCAAAGCGTTTTATCCCTGTTTGTCTGTTTGGCTGCATTAGGGCAGCCTGGTTTTTAAGGACAGTGTAGTTCCTTCATGAGAATTCTTCCAGCAAAACCCAGAGTAACTCCCTTATCATCAGGAAAGATTTACATCCTACTCAATAAAGAAGAAAAAAAATTTAGAGAGTAATGGATTCTGTTGCTGTAAGTAACAGAAATAATTGTAATTCAGAGTAACTAAGAGAAATAACTATCAGGGCTTGCCATTAATGTGTTTATGTTCTTTCCAAAACCTGCTGCCATAAGGTTCTATACATTTATTTAAGTAGATACAAGCAATTTCAGACCTGAGGATAAATGTTTTGGGTTTTATAGTGTTCTACTGAATGTCTTTTGGACTCTGATCTTGTATAGAAGAGATAGTATTATTGACTTTCAGATTTTGTTTGTAAAAGGTATAATGGACATACGGAGTGTGGAACATACGAAGTTCAGCTAGTTCAAACAGTAGAATATAAAGAAAAACAGGAATCCTTTTGCTTTCTTGCATTTTACACATGTATTTCCAATTAAACTAAAATCCTTCTTTGTTTTTAATAAATGTAACTGTAATTTCAGCAGAAAGAAAGTAATGGATGATTCTTTTGGTGACTATTCTTCAAAAGTATCACCCAAGCCCTTTTCCATTTTGTACAATGTTATCAGTGAGATCAGAAAATTTCATTTACTGTTGTCAGAAATGCAGCCATGCTCCTGTCTCCATCCCTCCCCCAGCAATCCCAATATATAAGCAACCTGCATGGGAGCTGCCAGGGATCAAGGATGCTCTTGGGAATGAAACAGTGAAGGTGAGAAAACAAAGACTTTCTGTCTCTTTGGAGATAAAACCAGCCAACATCAGCTTCAGAAAGCAGTGTGAAAGGTTTTTATTTTGAATGGGAGGTTGTAAGTATTTTGGTTTTGCTAAATATTTTTATACTATGAGAAATATCAAGTGCTTTTTTTCTTATTTTAGATAATACAGTATATTTGATCAAAATATTCAGGGATATATTTATACAAGTGTGTGTCTATATGTATATATAAATATGTACACATGTTTTTAAGCCTTACATGTGGTTTTATTTGAGGTACAGGGAGCATCTGCATAAGAAAATATGCCTTTATTGTAGAATCACTCTATTGCTGTAAATATGTAGCCATTCCTATAACATTCATAAGTCAGGAAAACATTTTACCAAACATTGATATATTTCTTATATTAATTACTAACTGCTTTTTGTCTTGTTTTGTTGTCTCAGCTTATGCATGGCATTCCTCAAACTGGCTGTATCACTGTTTAATCTTAGTTATCCTCATGTTGACAGAGTGAATTTTCTTCACCTACACAAGTCTGGAATGTCTTTCTTCCAGAAATACTGGTGGGTGATTGGTGATTTTTTTCAAGATGTTTAATTAATGCACAGTCCAGCCTGTTGCATACATTTCTGATTTTGGAAGTAATGAGTGATTATGTTTCATTGTATATTATTGTTTTGATATTATTAATAACTTTGTACATTACATTTGTTTTTTAAAAAAAATCAAACAATATCCCCCCACGAAAGAAAACCCAAAACAAGCCAGTGGTAGATATTTATCCAAACAATCCAAACCAAAAGATTTTGTTTGGT